AGGATGGATTCTGTTCTTGCCATTGTTGGAGACACGAGGTATGGCAGGAGAGTAAGTGGGGGCATATTCAGTAGAAAGGCCATTCAACTTTGATCAGAGGATTCTTTTCTCATCCTCAGCTCTATCTCCCAGGGGCCATAGGAACCTGGGAAATTCATGTCACCCCTCTAATTCTTTGGTTGTAAAAACTGAGAAGATAAAATACCTTTACCTTCTTCAGGGATAAAGGATCAGGCCAGGGGAGAATAGGCTTCATGAGCTATAAAGATTTATCAAAATACTACTATTTACTCAATACACAAACATAGGAATCTCTCACATCCCTTGTACAGTACTTGACAGAGAAAGTAGCACAATACAGCACCAGCCATTTAATGAGCACACTAACAAGGAGATGCGTGAACACACAGGTATCTCTTCAAAGTGAAATGGAATGCAGATGGACTTGCAACTGATTTAGTCTGAGGCATGGAGGTCAGAGTCTCAGGAAGGTTATATTAGAGCTGGGACTTGAACAATTAATGGGTGATAACCAGGAAGAGGAGTCTGCAAAATGCAAGCAAAGAGGTGTGTACACAGTGTTTGGGGAGCAGTGAGTTGTCTCTTGGTGGCTGTGGGGAGGCTGCGCCTGGAAATGCCGCTGGACAGTGAAGTGAGAACCAGGTGCTACAGTTCTGCATCATGGTAGTCATCAACTAGAGGTAACTGCTGGACCCTGAAGACATTTACAAAGGCAATAGCTATTTTCCCAGCCTCTCTGCCTCAAGACACAGTATCTGCCTTCAAGTTACAATCTAGCAGAAAGATGCAGAATGCATATAAATGCTGTAGGTGTAAAACAGGAGCACCTAAGAAATTCAGTAAGGGGCACAAGGAAAAGGGTAGTCCACTACACATGGGAAAGCCAGGAGATTATATATTGAGAGGTGTTAAGTTGCTGTTATCCAGGCAGAACAGACTTGGGGAAGGTATTCCAAGAAGAGGGAGTGATATGACAAAGATACAGAGCCATAAAATAGAATGACACATAGGTTAGCAAGGGTTTAAGGTATGAAGAGAACTTGGCAGCACCACAAGTCTGGAAAAGGAGGCAGAAGTTAGGGCCAGTAATGAATAGGTTAGGAGTGCAGGCTCTGAACTTCAGGCTGCCTGAATTCTAAAAATTTAGTCTGCTTCTGTCTAGCAATGTGACCTTGAACAATTTACTTACGCTCTCTAAACTTCATTTTCTTCACTGGTCAAAATGGAGATATTACTGAAACCTACAACCTAACATCACTGAAGGATTATGTGAGATAAACCATGTAAATGACTTAGTGTAGAATGCTGATTTATAGGAGATCATCAACAAACTACTATTGCTATTCCCATTATCATCGTTATTACAGAAAAATGTTAAGAAACAACTGTAATGGTCCAAGTGAGGGATGAAGAGGCCCTGGGTGAGAGAAGAGGTAATGGAGATGGAGAAGAAAGAGGAAAGCAATCTTTCTGAGCTGGAAGTGATTAACGGGACTGGGTAACAAGGGGGAGATTCTGGGCAGTACGGAATCAGTTATGATCCTAAATTTTCAGCTTGGAGAATTACGCACAACAGTGAAAACGTTTAGCAATTTGGGATGTGCTCAATACTCATATAGGATATGCTTGAATAGCATCCAGATGTATGTATCTATACACTGTGAGAAACAGGTCTGCGGCTCAGGGAAGAGTGCAGAAAAGGCACAGTCATTGCCTTATTCAGATCTTGGAGTGTGAAAACCGCTTTCTCCTATGGTTCCCTCTAAACAAGTGTGCACAATGGGTTAAGCTGCCACTGGCAATGCTTCTGATCCAGCTTCCTGCTCATAATGATCCTGGGAAAGCAGCAGATGATGGTCCAAGTACTTAGGCCCTTGCCACCAATGTGGGAGACCCAGATCGAATTCCTGGCTTCAACCTGGCTCAGACCTGGTTGTTCTAGCCATTTGGGGAGTGAACCAGCCGATGAAAAAAAACAGTGTAGTCTCTTCTCTTCTCATCTCTTGTCTCTGTCTCTGTCTCCCACTATGTCACTATGCCTGTCAATTAAACCAATCTTAAAAAATAAACAAATACTTAAAGAGCCATGTATTACTTTTGTAATGATCTCCAAGGCCACAATTTATTTAGGCACAGATTGGCAACTGACTCAAAGAAGAAAAGAAAATTCACTCATCAAATTTTCTGTGTTTGTGCCTTTAAAATAATGTGCCCTTAGGTGGTTTTTGTTTTAAATAAACTTATCTTTTAATTCTATGTTCCATGAACTTAAAAAAAATTTACACTATTTTTTTTTTTTTTTTTTGACAGGCAGAGTGGACAGTGAGAGAGACAGAGAGAAAGGTCTTCCTTTGCCGTTGGTTCACCCTCCAATGGCCGCCGCGGCCGGCCCGCTGCGGCCGGCGCACTACGCTGATCCAATGGCAGGAGCCAGGTACTTATCCTGGTCTCCCATGGGGTGCAGGGCCCAAGCACTTGGGCCATCCTCCACTGCACTCCCTGGCCACAGCAGAGAGCTGGCCTGGAAGAGGGGCAACCGGGACAGAATCCGGCGCCCCGACCGGGACTAGAACCCGGTGTGCCGGTGCCGCAAAGCGGAGGATTAGCCTAGTGAGCCGCGGCGCCCGCCACTATTTTCATTTTTATTTGAAAGGCAGAGTGACAGGGAAAGAGAGACAGAGAAAGAGATCTCCTGCCTGCGGCTTCACTCCCCAAATGCCTGCAACAGTTGAATCAGGCCAAAGCCAGGAACCCAGAACTCAGTCTAGGTCTCCCATATGGGTGGCAGGGACCTGAGTGCTTGGAATCATCATCTGCTACTTCTCAGGATATGCATTAGCAGGAAGCTGGATTGGAAGCAGAGGAGCTGGGCCTTGAATCAAGCACACTGATATTTGAGGTGGGCAGCCTAGGCTATGTCTTAACCACCTGCCCCAGGCTCAGGGGTTTGCATTATCATTTGATGGACAGCCATCACCATGGCTGCAATGGGAGGAATACAGAGAAATCGGTGTGAGATGCACAGGGAAGCAAGAACATAGGCCTCAAAAAAAAAAAGCAGTCCCTTGATACCTGTTTAGTTTTCATAAAGCCCAGTGGCCTGCAGACACCAGAATGTGTGAGACAGTCCTGTGTCCCTGTGTCCACTTCTACTACTTAAACTTTTTTGCGTTCCAGGCAACCAAACAACCCTATAATTAAATCAGATGAGACGGGTGGAAAAGAATATAGAGAACAAAACAGGAAAACAGCCAAGGCTAGGACCCTGGGGAACATCAACATGGATCAGACAGAGGAAGAAAAGCCCATAGAAGAGGCAGGGAAGAGGTAATTCAGGAAAAAAGCATTGTCCTAGAAGTCTGTATAACAGAGGGCTTCAAAGAGCAGACAACAGTATCAAATGCTATCGAAAAATCCAGTTGGAGGAAGATAAAACTAGGCCACAGCATTTGGCAATTAAGAGATCACTGAAGACCTCTCTCAGATCAACAGTAATTACAACTCAAAAACATTGTTTGCAGATCTTGGCTGCCACAGCAGTCACACTGCTTATCTTTAGGTGGGTCTTTCATGTGCCTCTGCCTTGGTTTCTTTCCTACTTGAAAATCATAATCACAGGGCTGGCATTGTAGTGTAGGAGGGTAAGCCTCCACCCAAAAAGCCGAATCCCATACAGGTTCATGTCCCAGCTATTCCACCTTCTGATCCAGCTCCCTGCTATGGCCTGGCAAAGCAGCGGAGGATGGCCCAAGTACTTAGGCCCCTGCACCCATCTGGCAGGCCCGGAAAAAGCTCCTGGCTCCTGGCTTCAGATCTGCCCAGCTCTGGCTGTTGTGGCCTTTTGGGGAGTGAACCAGTAGATGGAAGACTTTTCTCTCTGTATCTCCCTCTCTAAAAATATTAGGCATCATCATCATAAAATCTTCCCCCAATCCTAGCCATACAGGAAATGTCCTGTACCTTGAGTGGAATAGTGGTAAAATTCATGTGAAAATTCAGATTTGTAAACTTTAAAACCCCTCTGTCCCATCTTTACATAATAGTCAGATTTTAAAAACAAAAATAAAGGGGCTTATAAAATAATTTGGAAAGCCAGGAGCAGTATTCTTAGAATCCTAGCATCACTCCATAGTATCCTCAACCTGGGCCTTCACATATAACGGCACATTAATACTGTCCTGGGGCTGAAGATGGCAGAATAGTGAGGGCGCGCACTGAGAGTCTGGGAAAAGATAGTTTAATAAAAGTGGAGTTACTGTAGTCTCAGGGAAAGGCTCAGGAAAAAAATTGCAGAGGAAACTCTTCCAGATCTAGTGGATGTGACACGGAGGACCTACAGGGAGAGCAAGGATGCCCACGGCTCGGAAGTCCAGCCACGGAGTCTACGCACCAGCACTGGAAGGGGAGGATTTTTCATGTTTCTTCTAGTTTGTTTTGGTCTCCATCGTTTATACAAATAAATTTCCTCAAATGCCAAAAAAAAAAAAAAATACTGTCCTGGGGCTGATGTTGTGGCAGAGCTGCTTAAGCCACCTCCTAAGATGCTGGCATCCCACATGGGAACTGGTTGGTGTCCTGCCTGTTCCACTTCTGACCCAGCTCCCTGCTAATGGACCTGCAAAAGAAGGTACTTGGCCCTTGTGGGAAACCCAGATGAAGCTCCTGGTTCGTTTCTCTCTCTTTCTTCCTCCCTTCCTCCCTCCCTCCCTCCCTCTCTGTAACTCTGCCTTTCAAATAAATAATCTTTTTCCTTTTTTTTTTTACAAAAAAAATATTGTCCTACCAATAAAACTGACCAATACAAGTTTCCACACTACTATGACTGTATTAGTTTAAAACAGAATGAAAGGAAAATCCCATGTGTATCTTCCCAGATTCCATCACACGGCAGCCACTCTGAGCCACCTGACAGAAAGGACCGACAGCCCCTGAGAAACAGTGGCAAGGGTGCTCTGGCAGCCCACATGAGGGAGTCCTACCTTCATCAAGTGCTTGTTGACCCATTTGGTGAATGTTTTCTTCTGAACCCGGTCTCGCTCATCTGTGAAGGAAAGAGAAAGCACCAGCTTAGCACTACTCAGGCACAAGTCCCCATTCCCCTGCCTTGCCCACCCTCCGCAGTTTCTCCAGGACTGCTTTAAAAAGGGTGATTTTACCCACAGAACCAGGAGACAGTGACTTCTTATTAGGAAGTTCTGGCCTACCTGAACTTCCTCTTTGGTCCTGACCACGTTGTTACTTTACAGATCAGATAAAAATCACAAGCCTCAAAAGTCATGTTATGGCAACACCTCCTTGTAAAAACAATTTGAGCAGTGAGGGGATCAGAGTGATTCCCTGCTTCCAAAAGGCAGAAGCTGTGATCACCGGTGACAGAAGAGGTGGGGAGGCCTCACTCTTCATACACCACTCTCACCACTCTGCCTCGGCCACGCTCTGCAGCCTCCCACTCCTGCCCAGCACTTCCTTCTTCCCAACTTCCCCACCAGCCAGACTCTTAAAGCCCCAGTTTACCTCCCCTGCACATCTCATTCTTCCTTTTCTCTCCTAAGTAGTAAGTACATAAGCAAACTGCTTTCTCAATTTTTCCCCATCTTTAACAGAAACAGGACTGTTCCCACCACAACCACTGCTCCAGAGGCCCTGTTCCGAGGAGGCCCCACTTTCTTGTACTCCTGCCAAATCCCGAAACCACTTCCAGATCACTTAGCCAGCAGTCCTCCCACTTTTATATTTATCTGAAGCCACAGCAACCCACCCTCTAAACCACCTCATTCAAATCATCCTTGCTGTCACTGACCATTCCCTCCTGACTGTCCCCTTCCACAAGGCACGTCTATCTTCATCTTTCCTGAACAACTTGTTTCCCACTTACTCTCTCCACATATACGTCAACATGTACGCTGGCAATGCTTCTCAGCCTGCGTGGCTCCACTGACCTTCACTTGCAATTCATATCCAGCTACCACACTGATCATCCTGGGTTTTATTCACAATTCAGCAGGTATCTTTACCAATCTCTGATATTCCCTAATCATTCTCAATTTTTCATCACTCCATTTTTATTTTACAATATAAGAAATTCTAATATTATCCCAATTGGTGGTAGACGACATGGTTAAGCAACTTAAAGCTGCCCTCACTATTCCTCCAGGGATTCTCACTTGCCTAACCTCATATTACTGTGTTCATCCTGACAATCTCCAAACCTTAATCACCACCACTACTTGACTCTTTCAATTCTTCTCTAAGTCAGAGAACATTTTAGAAGAAAACTGCAAAGGTGTATAACTCATAACTAATAACTCACACAACATTTAGTGAGATTCTCTCTATATACTGCCCAGTAGTAAAAGTCACATAGCACCATCCAAACAATGCCAACGTGCTATCTCCATCCCAGGCAAATGCACTTATCTACACTCTTTTCTGTGCTTGTTGTCATTCAATAAGTAATCCTCATCTTCGTCTCTGTTTTATCTTCATATATTTCTTTTCATCCTTGAAACCTTTCCTGTTTTGCAACAAACAATTATCTTCCTACTACAGACCATAGAACTAAGGGATGGATCTTAGATGTTAACTAGTCTAATTTTCTGATATATGAATCCCTTCAACAACAAAGAATCATGTGTTCGGCGTTGAAAGAGCTGTCCAGGTTGGCACCGCGGCTCACTAGGCTAATCCTCCACCTGCAGCGCCAGCACCCCGGGTTCCAGTCCCGGTTGGGGCGCTGGTTCTGTCCCGGTTGCTCCTCTTCCAGTCCAGCTCTCTGCTGTGGCCCGGGAAGGCAGTGAAGGATGGCCCAAGTGCTTGGGTCCCGCACCCACATGGGAGACCAGGAGGAAGCACCCGGCTCCTGGCTTCGGATGGGCACAGCGCACCGGCCGTAGCGGCCAGTTGGGGGGTGAACTAACGGAAGGAAGATCTTTCTCTGTCTCTCTCTCTTACTATCTAACTCTGCCTGTCAATAAATAAATAAATAAATAAAGAGCTGTCCAAATTTCACATATATCTACAATATTCCTGATGCTTAAAAACCTAACAGAGAACTCACAACCTCATAAAGCAATATAGTAATTTAGCAGTTCTATAAAATGCCATAACATGCATCCTTATACACCCTACATATTGGCTCTCATTTAGGACTGCTAGAATTTTTTTCTTTTTAATTCACATGTATCTTTCACTTAACACTTTTTTTAAAGTATTTAAAGGCAGGATTCTTCTTAGATTTGACCACTGTCATTTCAACATATTTTAGATGTTGACTCAGCTATTCAACATCTTCATCATCCTTCAAAGCCCAAGACACCTGCAGACTGAACCAGAACCAGTTTGTAACAGGAGTCTCATCTAAATCACTGATACTTCGCTCATACTGTTTATTTTCCATTCTTGGCATACTACTTCTCTCCCTTGCTACCTTTCCAAATGTTATTTACTCATGAAAATCAAACTCCTTCATTCACTTATTATTATTTCAATATTTCTTTATTAAGGAATTAGCTGCCAAGTCTTTCAGACTCTAGCAATAGAAATAGCAAAGTCACAGTCCTCACATATTAAAAGAGATGATAGCATAGCAAAAATGAGAAATAACTTCATTACAACAGATAAGCACAGAGTGCTCAAGAACATGAGGGAGAGGGTGGGCATTTGGCATAGCAGTTAAAACACAGGTTGACAGACCTGCTTCTCATGTCAGCAGGGTGCCTGAGTTCGAGTCCCAGCTCAGATCCTGATTATAGCTTCCTCCTACCCTGGAAGGTCATGGTTCTAGTAGTTGAGTCCCTGCTACCTACATGGACAACCTGGATTGAGTTACAGGCTCCTGGCTTTGGCCTGACCCAGTCCCAGCTACTTGAGTGAACCAACAGAAGGGAGATCTCTGTCTCTACCTTTCAAACAAACCAAAAAAAATTTTTTAAAGATGCTAAGAGAAGGCCGGCGCCGCGGCTCACTAGGCTAATCCTCCGCCTTAAGGCGCCAGCACACCGGGTTCTAGTCCCGGTTGGGGCACCAGATTCTGTCCCAGTTGCCCCTCTTCCAGGCCAGCTCTCTGCTGTGGCCAGGGAGTGCAGTGGAGGATGGCCCAAGTCCTTGGGCCCTGCACCCCATGGGAGACCAGGATAAGTACCTGGCTCCTGCCATCAGATCAGCGCGATGTGCCGGCTGCAGCGCACTGGCCGTGGCAGCCATTGGAGGGTGAACCAATGGCAAAGTAAGACCTTTCTCTCTGTCTCTGTCTCTCACTGTCTACTCTGCCTGTCAAAAAAAAAAAAAAAAAAAAAAAAAAAACTGTGGTTTAAAAAAAAAAGATGCTAAGAGAAGTGGATAAGCTTCCCTTCCCTGTGTCAGAAAGGAAAACAAGAGATTCATGAAAGTTTCCCAGAGGACTGACTCTAACCTTAAAAGATGAGTAGAAGTTAGCACAAAGAGAAGGGACTCAACAAAGCTGCTATAGGAAGTTACATCTATTGCAAATTCATGGAGACAAGAAAGAGTTTATGTTCAGAGAACTGCACAGAATTAAGGATGGTTGAAAGATGGGATGTTTATTAGTCATGAGATTTTAAACTAGATAGGATGAATTAGGCCTAATCATGACTTTTCATGACAAGCTAAAGAGCTCAAACTTTATCCTGTAGGTAAACAGAAGCATTAGAAAAATGGAGAGGGGCTGGCGCTGTGGCGCAGCGGGTTAATGCCCTGGCCTGAAGCGCCGGCATCCCATATGGGCGCCGGTTCGAGACCCGGCTGCTCTACTTCCAATTCATCTCTCTGCTGTGGCCTGGGAAAGCAGCAGAAGATGGCCCAAGTCTTTGGGTCCTTGCACCCACATGGGAGACCCGGAAGAAGCTCCTGGCTTCGGATCAGTGCAGCTCTGGCCATTGTGGCCATCTGGGGAGTGAACCAAAGGATGGAAGACCTCTCTCTCTCTCTCTCTCTCTCTCTCTCTCTGCCTCTCCTCTCTCTGTGTAACTCTGACTTTCAAATAAATATATAAATCTTAAAAAAAAAGGGAAAAGAAAAATGGAGAATAACATGATGGAATCTGTATCTGAGAAAAATTATTCTGGCTCCCATTCCTGGCAACTCCAGTTCTCAATGGTCTCTTCGTCCTCAAAACTGTTATGGTACTCAATCATTTAGCACTTATATAATTGTATATAGGGTTCTAAGCTGTTAAGATACTTATTCTTACATCATCAGTGAAATCAATAAATCCTTGAAGAAGGAGATCATGCTTTACTTTTTGTATTTTCCACAACTTCTAACAGCTGAAAACTCTATAGAATAAGACCTAAACAACAAAATAAAAACTTTTTTGATGGGCCAATGTATGATTAGAATACTGGTTAAAGAAACAGAAAATAAAATCAAAACTGAGCTACCTACAAAACTGAGTTACCTACTTACAGTTCAATATGTAAAAATCCCAACACCACAGTATCACTTATGCTCAAATGTGTAGCCATGATGATAACTTGAAGAGTTAACTAAATGTTTTCATCAATACCAGACCCACCATGATTCAGTATATTAATTACTCTCATAACCAAAAATAGTCTCATTCTACTTTTACAAAATTTTCATTCTGAAGACATAAGTTTTCTCTCTTGATTTTCTTCATGGGAGTTCTCTTAATTTAATGGTATATATTTTTGCTGTAGGATCAAACAATAAATAGATGGAAAAGGAAAATGCTAACAGATTTTCTTTTCAACTAGTCAGTATTTATATATAAAGAGATGGAATTCACTCGATTTCTCTTTAGTCCACTCCCTAATTTCTTTCATACCTTAAGATGTAAGTGGTCCAGCTAAGTCTTTTTAATTTTATTATACAGTTATTCACTTCATCTACCAAGCTTTTGCATGAGGTTAAGGTACTAGGGGAACCTGATAGTTCCATATCAATCACATTTTCAAAAGCTAAAAAACTGACTTTGGATTCTGGGGGAGGAGGTCCAAGTCTTTTTTCTGAATATTATTAAAGGCAGCACAATTGTAGGCTTGTCCCAAGACTAGCTGGCCT